GGACTAGAATCTTTAAATGCACCTTTACTCATCATCGATTAAACTGGACAAAAAATAGCCCCATCGGTTGTTAGATTCTTCCTGCCAGTGTTTTCCACGGTGAAGCTTTCTCAAGGGTATGGCAAGGGTGGACAGAGCCTGTCCGGGTTGGATCCCCAGGAGGAGGCTAATCTGTGCCATTAGCCAAAGGGCTATTTGTACCACCGTGGCCTGCAGGCCCTTTGAGTGGTACAATCCTCTTACTACCCAGTTCCAAGGAAGGCTAGAATTCCTACTAAGGAGATAAACTGCAAGAAACCCCCAGTTTCTTCTTATAAAAGTGAAACACAGGAATGGTGACAATTCAAACCACACAGAGGCATTCTGCGGGTTGGGGGAGGTTTGTGGCTGGTGCAGGGCTAGTTGCTCTATGAGCACGGGTAAGGGGGGCGTCATTTGCAGTGGAAGCACGTGCTATGGATGTAGGCCCGGTGGAGAGGAGACAATGCAGTAGTCAGAGTAAAAGTTAACAGCCTCTAACATTCACGATGGTGCCTCTGTGTCTATGCAATGGAAACTACTAGAGAGAACCTCTGTGCATATAAGAACTCAAGAATGTTACCCCATTTCTACTGTTGGTATACCCAAAGTCACCATACAAGGGGGGAGATGGAAAATTGTACCTGAATGTACCTTTATTTACAAAATATTCATTACACAAAGAAATTTTTTTTTTGAGACAGTCTCCAGTTGTCACCCTGGGTAGAGTGCCATGATGTCATAGCTCACAGGAACATCCAACTCAGGCTCAAACGATTCCTCTTGCCTCAGTTTTTCTATTTTTTAGTACTGGGTCTTGCTTTTTGCTCAGGCTGTCTCGAACTCCCGAGCTCAAGTAATCCACCTGCCTTGGCCTCCCAGAGCACTAGGATTATAGGTGTGAGCCACTGAGCCCAGCCTCATTACAAAATTTTACAAAATATTCTCTACATGTTGGTCACCTTTTGGTAAAATTTTGTAAATAAAGGTACATTGAGCTAATATTTCCCATTTTTCCATATGTATAGCAACCTTAGGGACACCCTATAGATTCTCCAGAAAGTCAAGTCACTTATTCGTCCTCAAAGTTAGGATGAGATTCATCCCAAAAGTACAGAGTTAAGGTGATTTATTTCCATAATAAAAAGTGCTTTGAAAAAGGTCTTTGTTTTTCAAAAACACAGATACAACCAGCAATAGTATCTATCTGTGGCAGCTGTGAAAACATTCAGTTGCCAATGAAGGTATTTTCTCCTTTCATCACAGCTGTTCAGTGTGGGGCAAAGTTCATTTTCCTCTTCCTCTGAGCTTCCAAATCACAAATTCTGGGCTCTCAAGTGCAAAAGATTGTCCCTGAATTTTCTTGGATGGGCTGCCACCATGTGGTAACCAGTAAAAGTGCACACAGATTCCAGTTTAATTGCAAGATCCTACTCCTAGGCTGTCTTAACACAAGTGAAGCATGACATAAAGTAAACCCACCTGCCACAGAAATATTCCAACTCTGTTGAGACACCTGCCTTCCCTGGCAGGCCTACAACTTGCTCCTCATTTCCCATCTCATATAACACAAGGAATGTGTATTTTTAGAACTCGGTCTGTAGTAATTTATTGCACTTAATGCACTCACTTTAATGTCACTTCGCTTGAAATCTGTGAGCAGCGCTGTCAGTTTTTAAAATGGGAAACTTCATTAACTCTTTCAGACATAAGTGAGAGAATAATAAAACACACCTGGATGCCCACTGCCTAATTTAAGAAAAATGGTGTGAAGGTTCCTGAGTCTCCTTCCCATCCATCCACACCCACATCGTGGCCCACATAAATGCTTTTCTGGTTTGGGTCACAGTTCTCATGTATTTCTTTATAATTTTACTTCACATGTACATAACTATAAAATATATACCTATGTGGATTGCTTTCAGACATATAAATAGGGTTATATGAAATACATCCTTCAGCAATTTGTTTTTTTTTTTCACTGAATGCTGTTCTTATAACTTTTCTTTGTTGTCTATAATTTTAGTTTTTTAATTTTCACTGTGGGTATGTCATTCTGTTTTTATGAATATACACCAATATTTATTTTACATACAATGATATGACGTATTCATTCACCCTTATGGGCATTTAGGTCACTGATCATAATACTTTTTGCACTATAAACCTGCTGCTCTGACCATTCTTAAACTCAGCTTATAGATATTTGCAAGAATTTGTCCGTGTCTATATATCCACAGTGAAATTCCTGGGTCAAAGAGTATCTCCAACTATACTTACCAAAGTGCTTATTTCATTTTTTTTTCTTTTGAGATAGAGTCTTACTTTGTTGCCCCTAGCTATTTTTAAAGATGAGGTCTAGCTCTGGCTCAGGATGGTCTCAAACTCCTGGGCTCAGGCAATCCACCTGCCTTGACCTCCCAGAGTGCTGGGATTACAGGAGGGATCTGCCACGCATGGCCCAACATCATTTGTTAATATTCAAACTTTCCCCAATCATCTGCAATACCTGCTGTCAAGTTTCCATACAAAGTCTACACACATGTATATAGAAAATTCTAGGCTTCTTCTGTTCCAATAGTCTATTTGTCTAACATACTATTCTGATTACTCTAAATGTATAATAATTCTTCTTACGTGGTTGTTCGGTATTATCTCCCATCTAGTTTTTCACAAAATTATCTTTTATGCTTCCATATAAATTTCATTTTATTTTGCTTTTTCTTAAAGACAGAGCCTAACTCTCTCGCTTGGACAGGATAAGTGGCCTAATCACAATCACTGTAACTTCAAACTTCTAAGCTTAAGCAATCCTCCTGCCTAAGAGAATCGCCTAAGCCCAGGAGTTGGAGGTTGCTATGAGTTGTGTTGCCACAGCACTCTACCAAGGGCAATAAAGTGAGACTCTGTCTACCAAAAAAAAATTACATAATTACTTTCAAGAGGTCATATATAATTTGTTATTTTTATTTCAAGGTACTTTATATTTTCTTTGCTACTATAAATTGTATCTTTTTTAAATTTCAATTTTGACTGGGTGCCCATAGCTCAGTGGTTAGGGCACCCACCACATGCACTGGGGTTGGCTAGTTTCAAGCCCAGCCCGGGCCTGCTAAATAAACAAACAAACAAAAAAAAAAGCTGGGCATTGTGGCAGGTGCCTATAGTACCAGGTACTAGGGAGGATGAGGCAAGAGAATCACTTAAGCCTAAGAGTTTGAGGTTGCTGTGAGCTATGACGCCATGGTACTCTACAGAGGGCAACAAAGTGAGACTCTGTCTCAATTAAAAAAAAAATTTCAATTCCACACTTTTCTATTGCTAGTGTTTAAAAATGTAATTGATTTTTAAACATTGATCTTATATCCAAGAATCCAGACAAACTCTCATTAATTCTTATATTTTAAAAAATAGATTCCTTTAGACTTATTCTGTAGATAATCATATCACCTAGAATAATGACAATTTGCTGTCTTCCTTTCTAATTATAGTAGAAGCTCTGTAAGTTGACCACCCAAGGGACTATAACAAACTGGTCAACATTTGGAAGTGGTCAACATAAGGAACTAGGCCTAAAATATTAATACAAATATGTGGTACATGTCCAGTCTATGAAAATTAGGTCAACTTAAGGAGGTGGTGAATGTAGTGGTGGTCAACTCTGGAGGTTCTACTTGTATTATAAATTTTGTTCCTTTTCTTTTTTTTTATATTATAGCATCAACCAGGAATTCCAGTACAGTACTAACTAGGAGATAATAACAAGCATTCTTTTTTAATTTTAAATGTTTGTAATATTTTTACTATTGAATGAGATATTTGCTGTATATTTTTATACACAATATATTAGACTAAGAAATTCCTTTAGACTGGGCATGGTGGCCCACATCTGTAATCCTAGCACTCTGGAAGGCCGAGGTAGGTGGACTGCCTGAGCTCATGGGTTCAAGACCAGCCTGAGAAAGAGTGAGACCTCGTCTCTAAAAATAGCCAGGCAGTGGCAGGCCCCTGTAGTCCCAGCTACTCGGGAGACTGATAGAAGGGAATCACCTGGCCCAAGAGTTTGAGGTTGCTGTGAGCTATGATGCTATAGCACTCTACCATGGGTGACAAAGTGAGACTCTGCCTAAAAAAAAAAAAAAAAAGAAAGAAAGAAAGAAAGAATTCCCTTAAATTCCATTTAAGAAATTAAAAAAAAAATAATAATAGATTTTATCTTTTTTTTTTTTTTTGAGACAGAGTCTCAAGCTGTCTTCATGGGTAGAGTGCCATTGTGTCATGGCTCACAGCAACCTCCAGCTCTTGGGCTCAAGCAATCCTCTTGCCTCAGGTTTTCTATTTTAGCAGAGATGGGGGCCTTACTTTTGCTCAGGCTTGTCTCAAACTTGTGAGTTTAAGGAATCCACCCACCTCGGCCTCCTAGCATGCTGGGATTACAGGTGTGAGCCACCACACCCATCTGATACTAGCTTTTATGGAGTGAATGTTCTGCACCTACTATGGTAGAAACACAGTTTTTAAGCTGATAATGTGGTAAATTTCAGTAATACATTTCCTGATGTTAAGTCACCCTGGCAATCCTAACATAAACTCAGTGTGGTGCTGTATTTGGTTGTCTAAATTTTGCTTGTGATTATTTCATCTACATTCATAGGTGAAATTGACCTTGATTTTCCTGTAGCATCTTGTCCATTGTGATGCTTATAAATGCAGTCGGGACATGCTCTTGCTTTGTCCACCTGCTGCAGGAAAGATGAGATTAGAGCCATCCGTTCTTTGATGGAATTCATTTGTAAAGCACCTGTTGCCTTTTCAGTTGGCTTGTTTGGTGAGTAGACGGAGTCAATGTTTATAACAGATACAGACCTATTCAGTTTTCTTTCTCCAAGTTTTTAAATTACGTCTTTAGCTTATACACTTCCAGCTTTTCTTCTCATCTAACACAGGCATTCACGGTTCTATGTTTCCAACATGAAATTTACCTTGCTTTGAAGCTGAGGCGTTTTCCACTGACAGCTCATTGTCAGGGACCCTTTTCTCTGAAACAGGTATTGTAGTGCAGCTTCCAAAGGCCCATGGGCCTCTACAACCAAGATCTTCTTTCCATCTAAGTTGACACCTACCAACCAAATGAAAAATCAGTATTAAAATCAAAACTTCAGATTCTTGGCTCCGCGCCTATAGCTCAACCGGCTAAGGCACCAGCCACGTACACCTAAGGTGGCGGGTTCGAATCCAGCCCAGACCCGCCAAACAACAATGACGGCTGCAACCAAAAAATAGCTGGGCGTTGTGGCGGGCGCCTGTGGTCCCAGCTACTTGGGAGGCGGAGGCAGGAGACTCTCTTGAGCCCAGGAGTTGGAGGTTGCTGTGAGCTGTAATGCCACGGCACTCTACCCAGGGGGACAGCTTGAGGCTCTGTCTCAAAAAAAAAACAAAACTTCAGATTCTTCCTCCCATCCTAATTCAGCCCAAGGGAAAATGCCCTTTTAAACCTTGGCCTTCTCAGGAACAGCCTACGTGACTGGAAGTGAGGAGAGGAATGCTGTAATTCAGCAAAATTCTCTATTCTAACCCTTTTTGGTTCCAATTCTTACCGGTGACTTTCTTTCTTTTTTCTTTCTTTTTTTTTAGTTTTACCACCAACTTTCTTTCTACAATGCATTACTATAATTCGCTCACTGTAATTTACTCTTCTTTCTCAGAGAACTTTCTGGTGAAGTGGCTCAGAATCTTCATCCCGATAATGCAGATGATGGGGAAATGCTGCGTCTCTGGATTACCTCAGAGCCTGGGCCTTAATAGTTAATGAAAAACTTACCTCCTTCCTTAATCTTTTACTAAAACTTGGCTATACATTTTTGGAAGTTTTGTTTGATTATTGTATAATTGGGATGCGAGAGGGGCATTTGCCTCTTTTCTATTCAAATTGGAGAAGAGAAAAATTTAGTCATCATAGGTCCCCACCGTCTCTAACTCCTAGGCTGAAGCCATCCTCCTGCCTCAGCTTCCCGAAGTACGAGGATTGCAGGCATGAGCCTTCACACTCTAGCAGAAAATGAAGAAGCACCTGAAGAAGCACACTACCTGATTTTTCAAGGAGTTCAATTACAGCTCTGGCAACAGGTGAAACAAAACATTCATGAGCATCCCCGCGAACCAGCTTCCCCAGGTTTCTATCTGTTACTCTGGAGCAGAAAATAAGGGAACAGGTGCATCAAAGCACAGTCAAAGCTCACGCGCCCCATTCCCACGTGACCTCCAAGGCAACGTTTCATAGACAGAATACGCTAACTATGAATTACAGAGAGGGCAAGGAACAAAGCCGTTAAGCCTCTCAGGAAACTTCACTCTGGTCCCCAGCTGGGGTTTTCTGACTCTGCTCATATGCCAGGATATAGCACAGGCCTGTGCAGGGCTTCCCTTCCCAACTCCGGAGACCCCCCTTTCAGGGGACTGCAATGGAACGGCGCCCTTGGAACAGAGTAACACCATCGTCCTATCGGCCACTAGAAACCAGAACCAGCACTTCAAATCTGGAGTGACCCAGTGGGACCTGGGGCTCACAGGTATGAACCCCATGACTTCACTATTTATCTCCCTAAATCAGGAAGGAAATAAATGGGCAACCACACACTTTTGATGGCTTCTGCACTTTCCTTGTTCTAGGACAAAACATTCCATAATGATTTAGACTAAAATGATGGTTTTCAATTCAGATTAGTGACATGATGGAGATATTTAGAAACATTTTCATAATTATCCCCTTTTATGAAAGACTTGAAACTACACCCTGATACCTTCACATTCTCCATCCAGCTTTTTTCATTGATTAGGGCCTTTTCATCCCTTAGAGCAGGTGTCCTCAAACTACGGCCCATGGGCCACATGCAGCCCACCTAGGACATTATCCAGCCTGCAGGGTGTTTTTGCCACCATTACCTGTCCTGCTTAGCAGCCAACTCGTCCCAGGGGCCACAGTCTGGCCCTCCAACTGTCTGAGGGACAGTGACCTGGCCCCTGTTTAAAAAGTTTGAGTACTCCTGCCTTAGAGTTATTCTAACACAGCCCTTGAAATTTACTTTTCTTTTCTTTTTTTGAGACAGAATCTCACTATGTTGCCCTTGGTAGAGTGCCATGGTGTCACAGCTCACAGCAACCTCAAACTCTTGGGCTTAAGTAATTCTCTTGTCTCAGCCTCCCAAGTAGCTGGGACTATAGGCACCCACCACAATGCTTGGCTACTTTGTTATTGTTGTCATTGTTATTTAGCTGACCTGGGCTGTGTTTGAACCATCAGGCTCCATGCATGTAGCCGTCGCCATAACCACTGTGCAACGGGCACCGAGCCAGCCCTGGAGATTTTCATGACAAAAATCCAAAGTGTGGGTCCACCCTGAGCCACAATAAAAAACCAAGAATGGAAGATGACACACGGAGGGGGCAGCCTCTCAATTAAGCCCAGATCAAGAGTCTATCTTTATAATTTGCTTATAACCTAAACATACTGTGTTCTTTTTGGGAGGCATGGTATAAAATAATTCCTAATTCCTGTGTAGGAAAATGAGGTTTTTAAACCTCAGGAAACAGGCTGACCCCTTGTGGGTGGGTAGCATTCTCTGTCCTATGAAACGTGAATCAGATTTCCCCAACAGTCCTGATTTTTCCCTCAAACTTCCAATAAAACCTGTGTCATTGATAAAAGCACTTGTCTTGATTTCTTCAGCTGGCCTGGGAGTAGGGTGAAAAATGGTACCGCTGGTGAAAAGAGTTCTAAGGGTTTTGTCTCTAGTCTGATAGAATGGCCAAGGAAAAATTATTATTACAGGAGGAGAGCTGGCCAAAGACTTTGTAGATTAGACCAGAACTTATTAAATGAATATGATGGTGGAAGGTTATTTCCAAAATGGCACCCGCCCATGATAAAAGGGTTAGTCTATGTCCCCAAATTCATGTATTCAGAATTTAAAAAGCCCTCAAACTCCTGAAATATTTTCAATGATTTTTTCATCTCCTAATTACTAACGTAGTTGAAACAAATAAAAGGAATTTATGAGGGGAAAAAAATCACAGTAGCAAAAGCGACGTAGCCATAGGTCAATGTTTTTTCAAATATTTTTTACCCATCAACATCTTTCTCAGGTTTCAAGGCATTGAGGACTTTGTTGCTAAATGAGTTTTCTGAGATCTGAAGAGCAAGGCCATGTACTCTGACGTCTTCATTGATCTTCAAGATTTCATCTATAATCTAAAGAAAAAACAAGACAAAAACCCAGAAATTAGTTTACAAAGGAAACTATATAAAAAGGGAATTCATCTGTTCCAGTTTTTGGTTTTGTTTTTGCTCTTCATTGAAGCCCTGGTGTAAAGCACCATGAAACAGCTTTAACTTCTCTTTGCATCGTGTTTTAAAAAGCTCAAGCTCAAAAAAAAAAAAAAGAAAAGAAAATGAAAATGAAAGAAGATAGCTGGGCATTGTGGCGGGCGCCTGTAGTCCCAGCTACTTGGGAGGCTGAGGGAAGAGAATCGCTTGAGCCTCAAGAGTTTGAGGTTGCTGTGAGCTGTGACGTCACAGCACTCTACCAAGGGTGATGTAGTGAGACTCTGTCTAAAGAAAAGAAAGTGAAAAAAGAAAAGGTTGGCTGAATTTTTCCAGTGACTTCTCTGTCTGTCTTATTGCTCCACTCTGTGTCAAAACCAAACCAAAGCAAACCAAACCACCCAAACCAAACCAAAGCTCAACGGCTATCGACATTTAGAAAGACTAAAGACAATCCTAGAACAACAGTCATTTTAAGCCAAACACCCCACTGGTTTCTGAGGAGGCCAGAGGCGAAGTGCTGCAACCTGGCCCAGCTCGGCCTGTGAGCTTCAAACACAAAGTGTTGGACAAAGTGTAGGAATCCTGACACACAAGGGTCTCTGGACCCCAGTGGCGCACAGGGAGCCTCGCCAAAGGCATCTGATAGAAAAGCTCTAAGCACACATAACTCCTTTTTTTAGAGGACATTAATTCACTATGAAAAAGACCAAAGTACACTTGAGAAGCTAATGTGTAACAGCCAATCGATGGCTAGGTACGTCTCTAAATAAGCCCTGCTCTGTCCTCTCTGTTTTTCTCTATTTTATGCCAAGAGATAAACTCCTGATTCATTTCACCTAACACAAGCATTTGCTCATAAGAAAGAAAATACAAACTTGTCCACAGGGATCTCACTCCAAGGAAGTTTTATTTTACCACTTTGTTCCACTGCGTAGCAAAAAACACTGCGGTACTGCTAGCTGGTAGGGAGGAAAAAAAGCTATTTGATGTATAAAATCAGAAAGAAAATTTTGTTTCATTTACTCAAAATTCTTTCATTCGTGCAACAAATGTCTTTTGAACGCCGACTTTGCACCAGTTCTAAGTAAAGGGAACACAGCTGTAAACAAAACTGTTCTCCTGGAGCTTAGTATTCTAGGGGAACAATGAAGTCCCTCTCCCCCCCCCCAAAAATAGTAATAACATCATCTCTGAAGGTGAAAAACTGATATGAAAAAAACCCCAGGTATGTGAGGTAAAGGGCCAGCCAAATGATGGGGGTGGAGGGTAGTCAGAGGCTATGAAATCTCAGAGCCCAAAATGAAGAGAGGGAACCCTTGTTACCTGGACCGAAGATTTGGTAGAAGGAAAAAAATCAAAAACAAAAATCGTAAAAAGTAAACTAGGATGATTTTTTCAACATTATAACATCATACTAATTCACTTTATCAGAATTTCATCAAATAAAAGTAGGAAATAGGGGCTGTGCCTGTGGCTCAAGGAGTAGGGCACCAGCCCCATATACCAGGGGTGGCAGGTTCAAACCCAGCCCCAAGCCAAAAACTTCAAAAAAAAAGAAAATAGGAAATAAACAATTCCTTGTTAAAAAATAAGCCAAGGCAAAGAAAAGCTTCTAAAAATATACATTGGAGAAAAGACTGTTTTTTCAATAAAGAGTACTGGGAAAACTAGATAGTCACACATAGAAAAATGAAACTAGACCCTTATCTCTCACCCTTTACAAAAATCAACTAAAAATGAATTAGAGACTTAAAGGTAAGAGTTGGGAATTATAGCCGGGCTATCGTGGAATCCTAGCACTCTGGGAGGTCAAGGCTGATGGACTACTTGAGCTCAGGAGTTTGAGACCAGCCTGAGCAAGAGTGAGACACCATCTCTACTAAAAATAGAAAACTAGCTGGGCACCTGTAGTCCTAGCTACTCGGGAAACTGAGGCAAAGAAGATTACTTAAGCCCAGGAGTTTGAGGTTGCTGTGAACTATGACACCATGGCACTCTACCAAGGGTGACAAAGTGGGACTCGGTCTCAAAAAAAGTAAAAATATAAAAAAAGATTAAAACTAAAGAAAAAAAGAACCTGGAAATCATAAAATTTCTACCAAAGGAAAACCCAGGAGAAACACTTCATGACCTTGTCTAGGTAAGGATTTTTTATGTAAGTTCTCAAAAACACAATAGACAAATGGGATTATACTAAACGAAAAAACTTCTGCACAGCAATGGAAACAATCAACAGAGCTACAGAATGGGAAAAAGTATTTGTAAACTATGCACCCAGCAACAGGTTAGTATCCAGAATATATAAGCACTTAATAGCAAAAATGAAATAAAATAATAAAAATAAAAACCCAACCCCCCCCCCAATCTGACTAAAATGCAGGCATTTCTTAAAAGAAGACACATAAATGGCTAGCAGGTATGTGACAAAATGTCCAACACCAATCGCCAAGGAAATGCTATCAAAACCACCATGAAATATCCCCTCACCCCGCTTAGAATGTCTCTTATCAAAAAGACAAAAAAAAAAAAATGTTGGCAAGGATTTGGAGAAAGTATACTACTTCTACACCATTGATGGGAATATAGATTAATGCAGCCATCATAGAAAACAGTATAGATTCCTCTATAGATATTTCTCAAAAAAAAAAAAACCTACAAAAATAACTACCACATGACCCAGCAATTCCCATTACTTAGGTATTTTCCCAAAAGTATTGAAACCAGTTTGCTGAAAAAAATATCTGGCTGGGCCCGTTGGCTCACACCTGCAATCCTATACTCTGGGAAGGAGAGGCAGGTGGATTACTTGAACTCAGGAGTTTGAGACCAGCCTGAGCAAGAGTGAGACCCCATTAGGCCAGGCACAGTTGGCTCATACATGTAATCTGAGCACTCTGGGAGGTGGAGGCGGGTGGACTGCCTGAGCTCACAGGTGGGAGACCAGCCTAAGGCAGAGGGAGACCTCATCTCTAAAAATAGCTAGGTATTGTGGCGGGCACCTGTAGTCCCAGCTACTTGGGAGGCTAAGGCAAGAGAATTGCTTAAGCCCAAGAGTTTGCGGTTACTGTGAGCTATAATCCC